TCTAGTAGCCATGTTCAGCAGGAAAGCACCAGCAAAAGACAGCCTATATAACCTATTTCTGCTCTTACAGTGCCCTTGGAAGTGGTATTTTTTCCAGATTCTCCCTATATAATAGAGTAAGACTTGCAAGTGTAAGGTGCATTGTTGCATTTATATTTGGTTTATTATATTTTTTTCAGTGAGGTGTCCTGGAAAGTGATACCCACTACTGATTTACATGCATTGTCATTACATAGACTATTACTTGTTCATCCCACTCACAGAACTAATATTTTTCTATTTATCAAATCCAATTGAATTAGCTTTCAGTTACATTTTAAATATCTAAATTTTCAAGAAAAGGAGCACACAGTCTGGTCCTCATGGTTAAGCTGTTACAGTAAACATGATTAATACTACTGGATATAATTAATCTCTTAAAATAACATTGCTTTTAAGTATTGGAGCTCTGTAAGATTTTACCAGCATTCATACATAACCACATCAGTGTTTATAATATATATAATCTGAAAGACTTCATTTACTTTCCTTAAGTCACCACTCTTTCAAAATCCTGAGTGCATAGTGTTAGCCTCTTTGTGTATATGTTCACAATTAAACATGAATACATATACATAGTACAGAGGGAGAAAGAAAGGAAAGAAAACCAAACAAAACCAAAAGAAAACAACTCAGATAGTTTTTAGGGGAAATCAGTAGCAATTTCAGAAAATAAAATCAAAGATTTGCATAGTCATGTATTAGCAAAGGAATACAGAGAGACAAATTTCTCACAAAAATGAGAATTTTTTGTTGTTGGTATTTTTTAAAGAAAGCCTCTTCTGATGAGCAGAAGAGACAGTTTGTAACACTTACCAGACAAAAGGAAGAGTGTCTGAATGAAGCATTTCAGTACATCAGGGTTCTTAAATGGCTTGTGGAGGCTGATACCCTTTTATAGGGTTTCAATGAATTAGCCATGGAAACTCCTCCCACAACAGTATTAAATAGATACATTCTGGTGGTTTGGAAGCCTCTATAAAAATGCATATTTGTTGTCTTCCCCTCCTCCTACTCTTTACCTTTTCCTTTCTTCACTCACCCACCCCTTTTTCTCTGAACCGAATGCCAAGCTGACCTTCATCAAGGCTGAGCTGCTTCAGACATCAGGAGCAGCAGCCCTGGAATTCACATCTGGCTGCTCCATGACATCCCTCTTCTGG